GAGAAAGAATAAACAAGTTTTATTTGAGAGAGGACTTGTATCGCTGAAGTTTTTTCGGAAAGAATTTCTACGGAAAATTAACCAACGACCAGAGACGTAACAATATTACCTTAAACAATTTCTATGAAATTAAAGTCTAGACGTAAAAGTTTTGAAAAGGTCATGTTATTCTGCAAAACTTTTAAACTCATAACTGGTAGCAAGAATGCTGTTGAATTTTTCACTCAACTAAATGAATTAACGGGTTGGAGTTACCTGCTGTTGGTATTCGTTGTACTTTTTGGAAAACATGTTGGCCGAATTGCACAAGAATATTGTCGAGTAAAAAATACTAACGACAATCAAACGTTAGAATTTATAAATACTGTGTAAGAGTGTTTTCATAAAAAGCATTATATTGGAAAGAACGCTTTTAACCCTATCTGGACCGAAGAGGCTCATTGATATCCTCGATTTTCTTTAAATTAAATAGTTTCATTTCATTCTAAAATTCTCTTCAGGACTAGAGTATGAAAATCAAAAATAAACTTGTGGTCAAGCTCCTTGTCCACAAGATTACCTGTGCTCATACTTAACCTGATTTTAGAACATGACAGCTTGCAAACATTCTCGGATCTCAAGTTTGACCAAAGTCTCAGCTATGCTCTGTGAGGTCGTCATGGCCATGACGAGGTTCTACAGCTATCCTGGAAAACACTACTGTCTGGCTACTACACAAAACAGAGCCTTAGTCCGGTAGGAAATAAATGGGGAAGGCAAGACTGCAGAGTTGGGTACCCACACTAGTAACCAAAATAGATCAAATATCACGTGGGTATTAAATTAACTTTTTAGACTGAAGAAATTTACCAACAGCATCATCTTGCCTTCTTTACTGTTTTTTTCAGTTACAAGTTCAGCATAAAGGAGAGTGGCTACACTTAGCGACAAGGTGTTATTTCTCGTTTCTGGCATACTACATGAATTATAACTGGTCTTGTACTGGAAAATGTTAAGAATATATTCATAAAGTTGTGTGTAGTTTTTAAATATTACAATCAACACGATCGACAATATTTCATATAATCAAATAAAACATAAAGAGTATACTAAGTTTACCTTTTTATACTCCATGTTATTCTTTACAGATAATTTAATTTTACTCACTGACATTTCAGCTCAATCCAGTTAGCACGTGTGACATAAGTCTAGCTATTACTCTTATCTATTTCCATAAAATTCACTACATGTCGAATGTTTCAATGTCAAAACTGAAACATTCCCACACATTGATTAATGAAAACAACAGATGCACTGTTTCTTCAAATAATGCCTCACAGACCAGTAACCTCAGATAATCATAACTCGAGGTCTTAACATTCTGATTAAAATTCTTGCATTCTCATTCAAAGGTTATCTACTGGTTGTGTTCTCAATGACTAATTTCATTTTGTGTTGTACAACACTTATGAATGACATCAACTGAGCTGAGATGTTCTATAACAATATCTTCATCTTCCCGTGACTCATTTGTTCCAGAGTCTGATTCCTGGTCTCACTAGAGCAAAAGAGTTTCATCTATGACATAAGGTTGCAGTTTATCCTCATGCTGGATACACCTGTGCATACCCCATGAACTCTTTATCTTGTATGTCAATGAACCAACTAGTCAAAGGACTAGGCATGGACTAATCCAAATGCAATTGAGTTTCTTTCATGCTGCAGACACATACCACAGCCAAACTTATCTCTACACGGAAAAATCTTTTCCTTCACAGATTTATCATAGCATCTCTTCGGCCATATGACAGCTTTTTCCAGTTCCTAGTGCACAAACTCGTGAGCATCTATAAGTGTCATTTTCAGCCACTCCACATAGATTTGTGGACACTGTGGTACTTCCGAGCTAGGATGTAGGCTAGCTCATACTCATGTTTGGAAACATCCAGTCGATCTCTGTTCATTATCTATTCATCCCAGTCAGTTTGACCAGAATCAACAAATACAGCAAGCATATACTTAACAGTTTTTATCACCCATTCTGCCAAATGACCTAAGGATGATAAGGTGAAGTGCATCTGTTCATGATCTCCAATACTGTGTTCGACTCAGAGAATAACTAGCTATTCAAATTAGTTCTCTGATCCATGTGAATTTCTTAAGGGGTACCAAAATGTGTTATCAATTGCTTTGCCAACACATCATAAAGTGTTGATCTACGGTATGCCTTTGCCCACTTAGTAATTGATACTGAGCAGTACAAATCAAATATGTTGCTCGGTCTCAGGGAGAGGATAAGAAATATTCAGGGCTAATCTCTGGAAGGTAAACCAACAATTCTTTGCTGGAGTTTTCCCAGTCTGGGCCAGATTTCTTCTAGGCTACATGTGTGTGTGTGTGTAGTCCTTGCATCAGCACTAGATGTCACGATTCAAATATAGCCAGTAGAATTCTAACAAGACAACAGCACTAGTACAAGTGACACCTTGGTGGCCTCCAGTCTTTGCATCATGCAAAGGCTTGAAAACGTGCTGCATCAAGGTTGGTTGGATCACTAGCTGCAACAGAGGCTGATACCAATGACTAAGTGGTTGATAGAATTAATTACAACATCTTATCACACATCAGGAACTGCTCATACTTGTGCCACAAACTGTGCTAGCTCTATGTTTCCTTGTTGCATGGTAAGAAGCACCCACACTAGTTCTTGATCCCTCAATTGCTCCTTTAAAAGCTAGCTTTTGAGATGTAAATTTTGGAATCCAGTCACCAGTGGAACTACCTATTCTATGGTATCATGACAACTGAAGTAGCTTTTAACTTCAACAATGTATCCTGAATCAGGACAGTAAATGGATGGACATGTGGTGAGATAGTCAATTTGCATTTCTGTGTTTCCCTCCTGGACAATGTCATATCACCGTCCCATGATCTTGCAATGTTGCAATCCATAATGCATATATCTTATTCAGATTTTTAAGGTTTATGAGCCACTTTAAAAATGCATGATCCACTCAGTGGTTGAACTTTCTACCATACAAATAATGTTAGCAGTGCTTAATAAAGACAATAACTGAAAACAGTTCTTTCTTTATCGTGCAGTATTTGCGTTCAGGAGCTGTAAGTGTATGACCCAAGTATGCTATCGTTCATTCAGCCCCATCCTATAATTGTAACAGCAATGCCAGATTCCACAATTGCTGGCATTGGTATCCAACAAAATATCAAAATCTTGTGATGGGATTTTCCACTAAAGCATACTTCAAGGAAACCGAGCTCAACAGGAGATCATATATGAGAGGCTCAATGGCTGATGCTGCTGTCATTTATCTCCTCTCCTGCTATTTGTTTGAGGTGACCACTGCAAATATCATTGCCACAGATACTACTTCCCTCACGATATGGTGCCTCATGTTATCACTCGGATGTCTCTTAACAAATTTGTCAATAAGGATGTTTTTGTGGTCTACTGACACCATTGCAAAGTAGGTTTTACCATTCGCATGCTACAGATAATCTGCAAAGGCACCCAACTTCTCAAATGTTAAAATAAAACAAAGTTAACTTTAAGCTAAGGAACGCCATTTGTTTTAAAGCAAAGCTACAGTGAGCAATCTGTTGTTTTCACTGCGAGGATTCGAAATCCGGATTTTAGCGTTGTAAGTTTGTAAACTTGGCACTGACCCACCAGGGACTATGGAACACAACCTTAAAATGTAGCTAAAGTTAAGTCTGTAGAAAAAACTAAACTCTCTGAAAAAACTGGCAGGAATTCTGCTTTACAGAGGAGAACATGGCTTTATATATTCAAACAGATTAATACAAACGCAATCAAGTTGCTTGTATACTGCACTTAACACACGTGACCGAGAGCCACATTCATTCTAGTATGGATGTCTTGGGTTGTTAAAAAGACAAATATAGTTTACCTGCATATGCGATGAAAATAAACTGTACGATCTGACGAAGAGCGCTAGCTCAAAACGCTATCCTTCTTTAAATAAAAATGTATAAAACCTTGGCGATTATTCAACCTATTATTTAATTTTGTCTTGGGCTGTTACCCTATTCAACGACATAAAAAGACAGCAGTCTATCTTGAAATATCACGGTGAAGTAACTGCTATCGTCCTTGTAATAGAACACACCTAATATGCAATCAATACAATAAAGGAGTCGAATCTCGTGTACAACAGTGTAAGTAAAGTTGTTTCGTTGAACGTCTCCCTGCGTCCAAACTGAACTGGAAGAGAAATATAAATTTTGAAAAATTTACGTACTAAGGGGATAGCTAACACATGATATCATCCTGTACCATGGGATTCATATAAATACGCATATACACGAACACAGTCAAAGGGACAGCGCGTGTAAAAATCATAGCGATTAAGTATTTCTGTACTTTGGAATTGTTACCATAGTATAAAATCTTAAAACCACCATTTCTTTATCAACAATAACGTTTGTAATTTTTTAACGAACGTCAAAATGGTGTAAATAAGAATATATGTTTTGTTGATACAATTTTAATGCGCGTGTTTATATAAGAAAATACACGAACTTTTTCGAACCACCATAGCTGGAGATCCTGTTTTTCGCTTCCCGATGCCAACAAATGAAACTGTGAAATGTGTCATGATTAAGGATAATATTGCGATGAATATATAGGTCGAGTATTTTAAGAAAACCTTTCGTTTTTTCACTCACTCTCCTATTTTCTCCTCTACTTATCTTTAAGCGTACAAGGTAACTGTTGAAACATTTGTTACTCTTACAAGAAAAATAAAAGCAGAAAAATAAATGTATAAACAACATATTCGTGACAAACATTGTACTCATTTTTAAAAGTGCTTCTAGCAGATATGGAAACTTATGGTGACATTTACAGAAGCCTAACTTTTACAGTCACTTATAATATAAGACTTTTATTATCAGTTGAGTAAATATCACAGGGAAAACAGTTAGCTAGAGTGCTAGACCACTACATCACAATATTAATGGTCTCATAAACTTTCTTTTTGTGTGCTACCAAAAGATGTTTGGGTAGAAAATGCCACCCACAATAGATTAACTACAAAACAGCCAAACACTTCTGCATTTTGTTTGCTGATTTGAAAAACGATTCTCTAAGCGCAAAATGTCTTTCCATATCAAAATCTACTTACATAAATATAATTAATTTGTACTGTTCAAGCCTTCATTCGATTATATTACCATAGAGCGTGGAAAATGTCAGAATTGTGCCTGACTTAGATTCAAGATCTCTAAACTGGCCCACTCCCATTATAAATAAACTTCTTTCGGAAGTTTAACAAGCTTGACCTATTGACTGAATCCTACATGATGTCTACAAATGGTTGTGCACATTTTGAAATTCAGTGACTTTTGAATGAAGTCCACTTCTGGGTGAGAGCAGCATTGAGCTCCTGGACAATCGTAGGAGCAGGTTGTCTCTTTCTAACTGCTCTCCCTAGCAAGTCTCATGCATACTCAATCGGATGTAGGTCCAGCGACTTTGCAAGCCAGTCCAGTACCTCTATTCTTTCATCTTGGAAAAATTGCTGTGTGATCCTAGCGATGTGAGAACGGGTGTTATCCTGCTGATACACGAATTCATCTCCGACGGAACCAGCAAAGGGGCGAATAATGTGTAGCAAGGTCTAATCCATGTAACGTCTTGTTGTTAGGATTCCTCCAACTACCACACAGGGGTCTGTACGACCCTGCACAGATGCTATCTCAGACCATGATTGAACCACCCCAAAAGGCATTATGGTGGACAATGTTGCAGGCCAAACATCACTCTCCTTCACGTCTCCAGATCCTCAAACATTGATCGCTTGAGAATACATAGAACGTGCTCTCATTTGTGAACAGTACAGGGGTCCATTGCTGAATGGTCCAGGTGACATGTTCCTGGGTAAATGCCAGCCGAACTTTTCAGTACCTTGTGGTTAGTACAGGAACTCTAAATAGTATCTTGGACATGAGCCCAACCTCACGGAACTGGTTCTTAACCGTTGAGCACCATACAAGCACTCCAGTGGTTTGATAAAGCTCGTTCCTGAGGCTCCTAGCGCTGTTGGTACGGTTTCTAAGGGATACATTCCGCAGATTTCGTCATTTATTGCACCTGCAGCTATTCTGCGACCTTGGCCTGATCCTCTGATGCATTCTCCTGTGGTCTGGTATCTGTGCCACAATCTACTGACCACATATTGTGCCACATCCATGACTTGTGCCACCTCGGGATGGATGCAGCCCTCTTGAAGCAGTGTGACAGCTCTGCAAATTTCAGTTTCAGTTAAGTGGTCGAACACAGCTTGCACACTCTTTGAAAATGTTAATACCAGCAAAAAAAAAAATAAATAAATAAATAGATAGATCCTCAAACCTAGCATTATCTCAACGGTAAACATCTTTCCTAATCAATCAAAACTAGTTGTTTTTTTTTTGCTTTACAGAATTTGGATCATGTTTTCATAAAGGCTTATTACGTAAATAATCATTGGTGCATAAATTTCCAAAATCTATGTAGGATTAATGTAATCGTCTACAATAAGCATGCTAAATTTGATAGCCATTTCTGACCTAAAACATACAAAGCTCATTAACCTTTAATTTTTGTAAGAAGTGTACATAGTCCCTTTTCCTTCTCAGAGAAAATAGTCGCTGAACTCACATACTGGAGAATTGTTTCTTTCCATTTTTGAATGCTGCTATTGGTACAATTTTTTTTTCATCAAAGCGGACATCACCTTCTTTTTTTTTTTACTTTGTATTTGTGAGGCATTAAACAATGTCCTTTCAAATCGCTTTATTTATTCTGAAAAACTGTTACATCAGGTCACAAGACATTTCGCTGTAGGAACACATTAATTTACGAGATAGTCACGTTTGCCGAACTTTACGATCGTATCAGTTGCTATGGTTTAGGAAGGGAAATGTCGTATAAAAACGAAATACGTCGTTTTGGCTTCTTACAAACAAATAAACACTAAAGTCGGATATAAACTGGAAGAAACTGACTCGTGTACACACTGCAATGTGTATTTCACTTATAAATATTTAAATCAAAATGCCATATATCCACTAGAGAGGTGAACATGTGTCTTCTGATAAAAGCAGGTTGATGTAATTTCTGTCTCACGGAAGTAATTTGTTTGTTTGTTGTTCACCTCAAAGCTATCAGTACTGTGGCCACCGCGAGTACTGAAACGCGAATTTTATCGTTATAAGCCCTCAAAGTTATCGCTGAGCCATTGGGGGGAAGGAAGCAGTTGTTTGTTGTATTGCAAAATATGCAAGGCAATGTCACGAGTGTATAAGAATTTTGATAAATTTGTTAGCGAAAGCCGACGTCAATCCTTCAGACGTGCATATTATGAAAAATAGTTCAATCACGTTGAAGTCACACGGGCATCACTGACTAATTGTGTCACTTTGCTTAATATTTCTACACTGGACACTTAAATACAAATATCTTAATATTATAATTGATAATTATACTTCAGTATTACTAACCTGTAACTGCGGTAAAGTGGCAACAACAAAAGCTCGATAATCCTTTAGGTTCGTGCAAGGGTTGCCAGTAAGATACCTGCATATATTATTAAAAAAAGAAGTGAATACTTCATTTTAACATCAACAATATAATGATTTCTCATTCTTGTTGTATAACAAACCTCAAAAAAAATATTTATATTTAACTTACAATCACAAAACTTTTGTGAGGATTCTGAATAGCTATCACGTAAGCTTAAGATTATAATATGAAACCACACATAAATTATGAAATATCAGTTATTTATGTTGCTTGCTCCCCTCTAATTCAAATTTAACATAAATGTATTCTTTGGTATCTCTATCTATATATACAATGAATTTATTTATCCCTATCTCTTTCCCTATATATTTATATTCTATAAGTTTTTATTTGCAGTCCACTTATTTTCTTTACATAATTGTTTTAAAGTAATATATAAATACGTTTTCACAGTTACTGCAGTAATCCTCGTTTAATGTCTAGTCTAATAATTTTTTCTTATCCTGTTCCTGAACATGCTTTTTCAGCTATGGGGGCATTATGAAGTGACAGTCAATCTCACAATTTGCTGGTGAAGAGTAGCTCAAGAGTTGTCGGTGAGTGGTGTTGACTAGCTGCCTTCCTTCTAGTCTATCATTTTAAAATTAGGGACAGCTAGTGCAGATAGCCCTCGAATAGTTTTGCGCAAAATTAAAAAACAAACAAACACAGACAACAGTACTTTTGAATGACGTTTTACGATCCTACAACCGTTGATAAATTATTCAAATTTAGCATATATATTGAATGTTGTACAATTTATAGTTAGAAGAAAGTTTATACGAGGCAAAATGAGATGACCGTAATGTCGCAGTTATATACTGAAATATATAACTTTAAGTATCTCACCTAAAATAGAATAAAGTAACAAAAGAAACAGTTGGGCTAACGTTATGAACATACAATCCTTGCAGTGAATAATAACTTGTATACAAATCAGATAGATATGTATTTTTGTGCCTGGCGAACAGGAGTCACTAACTCCAAATCAGCTCGCGCACTTAATTCGAACTACAGTAACAAGGTATTTTTTTACATGTTATAGATATATAGGTATCAGTGATGAAAGCTCGTGCTCGTTCTTCAGCTGCAGCGAACAAGAAGCTAAGCAATATTACTATAATTTATAATTCCAGATGAGGTCAGTCTAATATGCCCTTCTTGTATACAGAGTCCTCAATTTACAGTTTTCTGGGAAAACAATTCTATAAAATTCTTCTTCTTGTTTCTGCCTTTTGCCCTTTCTGACCACTATCTATATATCCTCAAATTGGTCTCTTGACCAAAGAAAGAAATTGGAAACAATAAAAACTAAGAAAACATGCACATTACAACCAACTCATAGATGTAAAGCTTAGTCTTAAATGCTTTCAGTACAGGCCTGAACAAACTAAGGAAAAGAAAAAAAAAGACGTGATCAACTGCATCTCCTGCGCTCTATCTGTCAACTTAAACATATATTTCTCCTTCTTGGATATGCAACTCATACGTCAATGCTCAAATATATATATATCTAACATCTCATATAGTTTCAGTGCGTTATCTTAGTTAAATCTTGAGTTTACTTTCTGTAAAAGTTTGTTTTAACACAAAGCTCCCCAGTAGGTAAATTGCGCTCTGTCCACCAGAGGGAAGCGAACCCCAGATTTTAGCGTGGTAAGTCTATAAACTTTCCGCTGACCCACCGACACTTCTGTGACAGGCTCATCTTGTTTGGTTTGGTTCTTTACAATAATTTTTTAATTAAAAATAATACTTAATATAAATATGAATTTCATTCCCCTCTTGTTTTCTCACTGGTGGGTAAGCTCATTTACACTCTGGATTACTTCTGACATTTTTTATTTCATTTCCACACATACAGGTGTGCGTTTCTCACTTGTCTTCTGGTGGCAACTGGTGACACTATATATATATTTGTATAAGGTTTTAATCTTTAGTAAGTTACTGTTATAAATATATTGGTCATTTGTGTACTCCATTATATATTCTTACGTTCTCAAGATCGCAAATTTTAAATTTTTTAATTAGTATATCTACCTTTAAATGTGTGTGTGTGTGTGTGCGCGCCTATATATACAGTGTATGCTATTTAGAGGTACAATAAAATCTATTTATGAACAGTTTTATGAAATACGAGATAATATAGCAACCCTCTGAATACATCACAAGCTTATACATAAGCTGTATACATAATAAAAATTTACACAAAGTTGTTCTTGAATATGCAGATAGACTTCAAAATGTATAATTTTATAGCAAAAGAAGAGAATGTAACTTACAGCTCACGTAAGTTATAATTCCCACGCAGGCTTTCCACGCTTGTTAACTCGGCGATAAAATTCAACGTTAGATCTAGTTTCTTAAGTGATTCACATCCTTTGAAAAGTTATATTACAAACATCTATTAGGTGAATTAATACTTTAGTGTATCATGTAAAAAATAAAAACAGTAACAAGAAAACTTTGTTCAACTTACAAAAATAAGATATAAGCAAGACTGTAATGGAACTTGACAGAAGAAAATATACAAGCAAATTTAATTCTTAGGCTCGTGCAATAATGAAAATAATAATAATGTTTCTATAATTAACTCAAACAATTTCCAAGCTGTCGTTCATAAATAACGTTTAAATTATGTCTGATTCACTGCTTTTTTAAACATACTTTGTAGTTTATAAACTCATATGAAATCTTTATAAAAATCCATTTATACAGTTGCCTTATATATTTCTTGAGTTATTCCTTCGTACAGAAATTTACTTTTATAATAAATTTTATAATTAGCTGGTTTACATCTTAAAAAAAAATCTATCACATATCATTTTGTAGATTGTGAGATGTTTCTTGTTGTTCTTTACTTTCAAATATATTATCTATAATTTACTATAAACTGAAATGAATATAAATTAAGAGCATATATAAACTTAAATATTCTCAAGGAATGATTAGTATAAATATTAATAAAGTTCTTTCTACAAATAATACATAGTTACAAATTTGAAAGAAAAAAAAATCTTCCACTTAAATTACAATTGTAAAATAAATGGTTAAACCTCACCTTCTAGATTCTCAATTTTAGTGATGTTGTTTAAAGTCAAATTCAAGTACTCTAATTTTTTCAATCTTCCAACATTTTCTGTGCCAAGAAGAAGATAAAAACAAAGATCATGTGTTGCGATATTTTCCTTTTGTCTTTACTTCATGTTTCAATACACTGTAGTGATAATCTTTAAAATTTAGTTGGATCACTTTGTAAACACTGCTGATATTCATCTTAGTAAACAGCGAAATTATGTTCAAATAGTAATTAAACAGAACATTTACTGGCGTGACTTATATATATATATATATATGAACTAGCGGTTAATATTTTTCTCTTTACCCGTTACAGTTTGAGACTGTAAATAATTGAAATCCATGGTAACCATTGTTTCATAAGTGATACGTGATTTTTTCATCTACTGTACTTGTTGTTGGTATAAGGTGGTTCGAATACTAACGTCCTGATGTTCGACGTTGGCAACCATATCGTTTTCCTTTATTACTATCGCATAAAATAGCAACATATAGCACGGTCAGCTAAGTAAATTGCGTTCAAAGTTATGATAAACATACAGAAGGTGATACCTTGTGTGACATCTTCATTTTTACGAGATTATTTATTACTAGCTGGAGTACCCATCCCCTATAAATTTGTTTTGTAAATTCATGATTAATGAAACGTTATCTTAGGACAGGAAAAGTTGTTTCCTTTATATGTAATTGTACATGAAAACTGCAAAAACTTAAAATGTGAAACTACGATTTTGCATGTATCTCTGTATGGACCCAACAAACCTTCATGCTAAATTTGGTGAAAATCCATCAACAGGGGGCGAAGTATTGTTTGTTTGTAATTAAGCACAAAGCTACACAATGGGTTATCTGTGCTCTGCCCACCATGGGCATCGAAACCCGGATTCTAGCGTTGTAAGTCCGCAGACATACCGCCATGCCACTGGGGGCCGGGGGCGAAGTAGTGGTAAAAAACGTAAAACGCCCATAAAAACCGCAAGACGCAAAATGCAAAACTGAAAATGTGTATGAACCTCCATACCAATTTTGGCAAAGATCCATCCACATCCTGTGAAATGGTTATATGGACATACAACAGACAATACTGTTATATTTATATAGATTCCACACACTCTCTCTCTCTTTCAGGTGGAAATAATCACAAGTGCTTCCATTAATTGTTTATTGTTTAAAGTTTGCGACTTAGTGTAATTTATCAATTAAAATTTACATCCAAAAAAAAACGCATTTGAATTTTCTGTTAAAATGGCTCAATTGTTTGATATGTTTTAAATTTTGGAAATTCTTCACTTGTGAGACACTATGAAAACTCTTACGCGCATGTTTGAAGACATCCAATAAAACCAAACATTAAAACCAAATTAAACTTCAATTTAAACGACATCTACCACTATTTTCAATATTAATCATATTGGTATGTCTGAATCATTACAAATTTCATTTCACACAGCTTTTAAACAAACACAACCTCGTATCAATATGCACGTGTTTTACTGACCTTTCTATACTGAGTACGAAACAGCTACTGCTCAAACTGATTATTACTCTATATTAACAGAGTACAGCATAATATAGAGCCAGCATTTGTTACATTGCGCATGGACCTTTTACATTTGTTAAATAGATTTTAAAGCTATTTATGCACCAAATTTTTCTTGATAGTCCATCCATGACTTTGTGGTTGCGGGGTCCCTAATAACGTACGAGTCATGCAATAATTTTAAATAGAATTGCCGTCAATATTGCAGTTAATTCCACTAATTACTGCTGAGGTCTCCTATGTACGTCACATAGAAAAATATATGTGATTTCACACATTTTTTTCGTCAGTTCTTTACACTGAGCGTTGTAACAGGTAAAATCATTAAGGTAGTTAGTATGCTACAATATGCGGTAACCTATTGCGCATATGAAGTCGTCGTTCATATATATATATATATATATATATATATATAAAGCTGGCTCTTCCAAAGTGAAAGTTATTCCAGTTTTAGTCTTCTTCTGAATCTCTTCTCTAGTAAATTTGTAGTGAGTGAAATGAGTTCCAGGACCAAATGCATAATGGCTGAATATATTATGGACAATTCTAAAGATGACAGTGGACTTAGTAGTGATGACTATACGGCGTTACATATTGAACATAAATAATATTATTTTTTTTCTTATTGTAACTGCTAGTGATACAAGCTCAGGAGAAAATTAAACTGATAACGAAGTTATGGCGATATTGTTGAAGAATTTCAAGCGTATTTGGCAAAAATAAAAAGGCGGAGGTGTTTAAAACACCAAGATGGCAGCTAACTGGAAGAAACACCAAGTCCAACTAGGTGCGCGAAAAGAAATATTGATACAGTATTATGTGCATTAAATTTATTCATGTAGAATAGTACTATGAAGGAAATATTGAAATGGGCAAACAAAGAAGGAAAAGCAGTATTTGAAAAAATATTGAAATATGTGGATTCTAAGGAACTGCAGTATTTCTTCAATGTGACGATACTAAATAGTATTTATAAATACAAAAACGACGCAATCAACTGTTTTGAAATAGAGACACCGACATACCAATTGAATATTATTGTGTAGTATACACTAAGCATCACTTTATAAAAGTAAAAATATATATAGCCGATTTCCTTTTCGTCGGTTAGAAATTAGAGACGGCCAGTTTTATGCGAAAATTCTAAAACAAACAAACAAAAAACGCGTGAATCCTGCTGGTAGTGAACGGTGTAAATAAAAAGGTTTGACAATTTGAGGCTTAAAACGTGTACTACGAAGTCAGGGCAGCGGGATCGAAACCCACGCCCGTTCAAGTTTAACTTCTTTAGGTAATATATAATTTCGCATAAACATTTACTAAACGTACAAATAATAGAACCAGTAATGCCATTTCGATATCTTCCTCAGATGTAGTTAACAATCTAAAAAATAATACTTTTAAGTGCAACATTTTATTCAAAAAATTTCAAAACATCAATCGGAAAAAGTCATCTTTTTTATTTGATCCGACATAAAATAAATGTAAATAATTGTATTTCTATCTTAAAGATTGTTTCTATATTTCATAGTTGACGTTTAATTTTATTGTATATTAATAACATACCATTAAATCAAAAACTAAGTCATTGACCTATCTCTATTTTATAATCAAAATCAGCTTAACTGCTTTTATTATAAGACCGTGATAATATGCAAATTTCTAATAGCTGAATTTCAATGAACTCACCTATTTTAGGGATAAGATTGTTCTGTAAGTAAAGAATCTTCAGTTCTCGGCACCATTTTTCTATGTATTCTATCCTGAGTAAGACATACATATAGAATAAATTAACCCAAAGAAAAAAACAACAACACTATTTTGTTTAGACTATACTGATAACTAAGAACATAACAATAATAATTAAGAAATTTGAATGATGTTCAAAATAATCTAATCATACGAATATATTACTGGAATAGACTGGATTTCTTAAGATATTGTCTTAGTTGTTAATTTGATTTTCTAAGCAAATGAGCCTATTATTGATATGATTCGTCCTTATATGAATTAGTTAACCATTGCGAAAATGTAGTTAGGTTAAGAACTTTTAATTATTTAAATGCCAGGTAACAATTTGGTGTTGATTTTAGTATTCACTTATAAATATAATTCATTTTTAATCGCACGCTACTTTATATCTGTACAAGCATACCAGCTGCACGTTGAGCATTTGTTTTCATTACTGAAAACTATAAGTTGGGCTATTGTATAACTGGACTTACAGTTTTACTATAAATTTACAATATTAGTTTCCAAGAGGAAGAAAAAATTACCTCTCAATATTTTGCTGATGAAAAGAAATTTCTTCAAGACTAAAAATTTCTCCTTCGTTGTGTTCTGCCCGTTTCCGTACCAATTCTTCTGAAACTATATAACCATAAACACCTAACTGACAAATAATATTTATAAAACCAAATTTTATTAATTTATTTCAATTTAAAATAAAGCGTAATGGCGTCTCTCCTTTTTTTTTCTAAGGATAGTCAGTTGAGAAGATATTCTCAAAATTATACAAAAGCCAAGACCAGTAATTTGAAATGGATAACCTGATTGGTGAACTGGTGAATATACAATGTTTAAATGTAATATTAGACATGGGAAACAAACTAAACCTACGTCAACTTCCCAACAAAAAATAAATAAAATTAAAAAATGGGAAAACAATGCTCAAGTACGACGTAACTCAATGTAAATCATAACCATACGTAATTCAATTTTTCTTAATAAAAATGTTATTATTTGGAAATTAGTTTTCTTTGTACGAATATCTTTGTTCTTTATAACAGATTCAAATTCATTTTAACTTTTACTTAGTTATCTGCAAGTATGGAACTGTAAACACAAAACGATTTTTTTTTTCTCTACTGATCCATACATCGTCAATAGTATAAGTTCAGTTGATAACCCAATGCAAAGCAAACGTTAGTCGTTTCCGGCTTATAGTTTTTGTTTTGTAACTGAAATATTTTTGTAACGTTGTTATTCCTGCAGGTTCTTTTAAATTATCTGGTGAATATAATTCAAAGTCCAGTTCACGTAACAATAAATCATTAGTTTTCTATCTGGACTTACTAACGTAAAAATCAACTAACTTGCAGAAAGTAACTCAATATGTTCAATAGCTAACATAGGTCCAAAAATGTAAACACACTGACTGATCCACTTTACTACCTAGAAAACAACTCTATCTTTTCGATACTTCCGTTGACTGATTCACTCGTACTGATAATCTACTCCTAGTTCTATTTATTTTGCAAAATCTCTTGTTCATTAATATTCCCGAATGTTCTGAGATTCGCTTGTTTTAGCGTGATGCGCCCCTAGCTAACATCTAAATTAAGACAACAAAACATAGCTTATAACGCTATTTTCCTCCTGGATTGAAAAGTCTCTAAACAATCTTAATTAAAAAAAAATCAATAAAATACTACATTAAACTGTCCATTCACAAAGTCTTTTGGAGGGTTTTCTCTTTGGAAGTTCATGGTAAAGAAATGGGGGTGGGAGTTTTCCTGAGTAGGTGACCAAGTATTCTCGACAGGAATTCCGGGGTCCTAAGCAGGTTGAGTTTCTACTGACAAGTTCTTATCTGGAGTTACCAAGTTGTCCATTCTCTCTCTCTGACGTACTTCCAAAGACGATCACAGTAGATGACCTTTGGCTTGGACTGCCTATCCTCCAAACACCTACTTACTTTGGAGTTTGTCTACTCTTGCGACATGAACTGTTCAGCTATACCACGTCACCTCGATAATATCAATTTTATCACCATTTACATCATAACTGCTTTATAAATACATCATGAGGTACAGAAAAGCCTCCTACAGTAAAAGTAATTTCCAACTTCGCTTTTGCTGTAACTTTATATCCACCTGTTCACATCAATCTCTCTTCTTCCTTCATTTCTGAAGGCAATTTCCCATCTTTCATTAGCAAACTGGGTCAAACAGTTGTAGCTGTATAAATAACCATACCACGTGGTTTTCCATTAATAAACCCATGGACGATTTTTCTCAAATAATGAATTTTTTTTTTCACATTTGTGATAGATGGAGTATTTTCAGCTGAACTTCGCCAGATAAGTCAAACTAATTCCACTTTCTTTGATGTCTCCTTAGCTCTGTGTTGTTCCTTTGATCTGGTTAGATTCTATCTTTAGGCTTATGAACCACTGTGGATTTCTTACAGTCTTGACTGTAATGTCAGGTTCTCTATATCTATAACAGTTACCTCTTTTCAGTAGGTGTTGAGAGCAGCTCTTATTCCATACATGCCATTGTTTGCAGTTCCTACCAATATTTCCGTTCAAGTTATACTTGAAATATCTCTCGTCTTGCAGTTTACTTACTCTATTCTGTTGAACTAGTTGTCTACCTAATACTTTCTTTTCTTCTATACTATCATCAGTGTGAGGTGATGCCTTAATATTGTCTGATCTAATGATCACATAACTTTAGTGGTGTCTTTAGTTGTTTATATTCAACTTTCCAAGTTCCATTGCCAACTGCAGAGCTTCCTTTAACGATGTACACCTACTTTGCATCAGTCTAACTCTCGTATCCTTATCTGTTATGGTGTCCATAAATTTGTCATGTGGTAATGAATCCATTATTTCACAAGGACCATTTGGTTAAGCTAATTGGGCAAGCCTCTTCAAATCTTCCACAAGTTTCGCTAAGGTCTCTTCTTTCCTCTGTACCCTTAACTCTGGATACTTCTTTCTAGTGTGATATGTTAAATCTGTTGGATAAAGTGTCTACCAGTGCTTAATAGTTTTTATGGATTTCAGCTGGAAAATTATTTAACGTTGTCCAGGCAGCAAGATGGATGACTTATCGTTCATTATTTCACTCAGTCATTCTGGAAACGATTTCTAATTGAGCCTGGCATGACTCCCATGGCACCTTCCCGTCATAGTCCATTGATTTCTTTATTGGGTGATGTTAAACTAGCCAACTAAATTCTGAAATTGGATTTGGTAATGTCATAGCTGGAGTATTTCAGGAAGATCCTTCAGTAATATATGGCACAGCAATACCAATAATAACTGTAGACCAAATACATTATCCTACTGGATATTTTGTAGAAGCTGAAACTCTTGAGCCAATACAGAAATGGGTGTAGTTAATTTTGTTTTCACATTTGATAATTCATTTTCCATATGTTTTATTTTGTCACCAATGCTCTTTTCTATTTCAATGATGCTCTATTCTACCTTGATGATGTCTTTATTTATTTTACTTTTGTCTTTATTGGTGTCCTTTTGAACTTCTTCAATCTTGTATTTACAGCTTTACCATACTTATTCAGTTTTATTGTTGTAATCTCTCTGTATGTCCCCTATAGCTTAATCGATCCTGTCTTCAATCAAATATATTTCTAATTTTAATTCTTTTTGAATAAGTAGGTTTTTTCTTCTAACTACTCCCTTAAATTCCCGTCATTTTCTTCTAATTTTTTGTCCTGCTCATCTTTTAATTTCACATTTCGTATTTCAAATTTTCTATCTCTTTCTTCTTGATCTTCTTTAAATTTTCTATTTTTTTCTTCCTGGTCTTGCCCCTTCCCCTGGTGGAACAACAGTAAATCTAAAGGCTTATAACGCTAAAAACCAGGTTTCAAAACCCGTGATTGGCACAGCAGAGATAGCCCAATATGTAGCTTTGTGCTCAACTGCAAACAAACTTTCTGGTCTATTTTTTATTTTTCTATTTCTTTCTTCATTGACCTTTTTAATTTTTTTAAAATCTCTTCCAGATCTTGTGTTAATAATTTCATCATCACAAATAATGCTTTTCTCTCACTCTTTGACCTCATGATCATTATCTTCAAGTCCCCCAGTAGACTTCGTTTCTCTGCAATGGACACAGCAAACAACCTAATGCGGCTTTGCTCTAAAACAAACAAACAAGCATATGTTATCTTTAATGGCTGAAGTTTAGTCAAAGTTCTATTATATTTTCACCAAAATAATCCCACTTCTGACACAGGTGTTCTAACATTGTTCTTCCGCTGGTGGGTTCTTTAAAATCATCTAGTAAAAATAAATCAAAGTCTAGTCCATGTAACAATAACAAAATGGATTTATAATTTGTTGGCCTAAGTTTACTGCTACGTTACCTGTATTATATCAACGTAAAAATCAACTTACTTTTACAAGGTAACTCCATATACGCGATAGCTAATACAGAACTAGAAACGTAAACACACTGACTCATTCACTCTACTGGCCATAAAACAACTCTATCTTTTTAATGCTTCACTGCAAACTTAACCAATTTACTGGCTCATCCGTATTTGTAATCTAATTCTTGTTATACGTATTTCGTATTTTGCAAAGCTTCTCGTTCATTAATATTCCCGAATATTCTAGGACTCACTTGAATTTAACGTGACGAGCCCTCTAGCTAGCATATAAGTTACAGCTTTTAAAATATAGCTTATAACAATATTGTTACGCCTCCGTTCGTTAGTTAATTTTCCGTAAAAATTATTTCCGAAGAAACTTTACCGATACAAGTCTTTTCTTAGATAAAACTGGTTTATTCTTTCTAAATACAACTTTGCGATACACTTAATTTCCACAGTCGCGCTATAACAAACGCTATAATTCACAAGCAACGTCTCACGTGCTCAACAATATATCTCTCTCTGTCCGCAGTTCAATTACACATTGCCGTCACGTCTTGACCGTCTTATATGTACAAGAATACCGAATC